TTTTTTTGGCCTGGTGAATACCCTCATGATACAGCCAGGAATCAGAGATGAGCGACTCCTTGACCATCTCCACTTGCCAGGACCTGGATGACAGTTCTGAGGGTGCAGGTATGTTGGAAGCCTCAGCCTGTAAAAACATGGGAAAGCCACCATGGGCACTTGGAAGTAAAGGGAGACTGAAGTTAGGAGTGCCTCTGAGTCAAGGAGGTGGCTCTGATTTAAACACGACTTCATGAATGATAGGGATAGCCCTCCAAACTCGTCCTTTATAGGAGAAGGCTATTCTAAAGCTGCTGCTTCCTGATTTTCCCTTTTGGGAAATAGAAAACCCCTCCTCATATACATAGGCCCCACAGCCCTGTCTTTAAACCAGTGGATCTCAGACAGGGTGATGATTTTGTGCCCCAGGGGACATGTGACAATATCTGGGGATTTTTGTTGTTTTTTTTAGTGAGTGGGGGTGGTGGGGGTGGGGGGTGTTGCTACCAGCATCTAATGGACAAAGGCCAGGGATGCTGCTAAGCATCCTACAATGCAAAGGGCAGACTCCTACAACAAAGAATGATGTGGCCCAGGATGTCAATATTGCCCAAGTAGAGAGACCCTGCCTCAAACCCACGGGCTCTCTCTCTCCATCACTTTTTCTGGACACTACAGCTGTTTGCAGAGTTTTCTCTTTTTCTTCCTTTGCCTTCTATACTCCACACAGACCAGTTGGGCAACATTGCTCAGAAGGTAAGGAGGAAGATAGACGCTCGCCAGAGTAAATGTGATGTAATTTCAATTATACATTCAGCTTATTAAAAAGCAATGTATACTTACTGTAACAGGCACTGTTATAGGACAGTGCATTGAATGGCTGGGGAATCTTATTAAAATGCAGATTCTGAGTCAGTAGGTCTGGGGTAAAGCCTGAGAGTCTGCACTTGTAACCAGCTACCAGGGGCTGTAAATACTATAGAAAATCAGAGCTGAAGGAGAATTTAAGAGGATGTCAAATCAAACCTTCCTATTTTAAAGGCTGGAAAACTGAGGTTCACAGTGGGGAAGGGAGCCAGTCAAAGTTGCACAGCTTGCTGTGGCAACTTTTGGATAAGTTCGTTGGATTCCTATTCTGTTGCATTATCAGGGCCCTTAGGGACCACTTGAGGGGCAGAGCTCAGTCAGGGTGGGGGATGGCCAGCAGCTGTAGAGGCTGGAGGAGTGGAGGCCTGGGGAACCACCATGGGAGGGTCCCACTACTCCGGACCAAAGAAACCAATTTCCTATTTTACCCATTGCTGTTATGACACACACATGCAATCACTGGGATATATTTGGGGAGATATTAGGTTCTTTCTGATTGACCCTTTGTTTTTCTGCAAGACTAAATCTGTAGCAAGGATGAACCACGGTAAAAGTATGGAGAAGGAAACTCTGAATGCATTCAGGCATTTGGTCAGCAAGTGTAAAAAGAATTAGGGCAATCAAAACCTCTTCCTAATCAGGGGTGAAATGATAAATCCTGAACCCATGCCAGGCTCCTATTCTCATCTTTCAGGGCCCACAGAACCAGGGCCATCTACTCAGAGCTTCAGATTAGAGAATCGTTTGCATGGTATCGAAAAGCAATTGCTTTCTACACTGCTAGTACTCGGGAACATGAACTTAAATTCATGCCGGTTCGACTGGAACAGTAGCAAATTTCATGGAGTAGCTAAAAAGAGGAGCAACAGCTGGTACATCAGGCATTAATAATAAAACAAAGAAAGAAAAAAGAGAAACTTTTCATTAGTACTTTTTGATGTCTATTTATTATTTAGCCCTTTGCCAATACTCAAACAGGCAGGCAATCATAAAACATTCAAAAAGATCCTCTAAGACAGTCAAGGCATCTGTCTTACCCCAGTTCCTTTTCAGGAACCTGGAAACCAGGAGCCCTGATATTTATAGAAGAGCTGCACTAAAAATATTTGCTGTTTCAAAAATAGTTGGAGGATCACTACTTAGAAAAATTTTAGTTTAAATTTTATCAACATCCAGGGGACAGGCAGAGCACGGTTCTTAACAGAAGATTCACTGTAAATCAGCAAAGTGCTGCTTCCAAGTTTTTGACTCTTCGGTTATTATTTCGTTTTCAACATGGCGTTGACATAGCCCACTGTTTGGTAATTAGCATTCTGTCCAGTTTTTCTAATCATGACCAGCATGCTGCACCTGGTCCTAGTTAAAAAATGCATTGTGGGCAATTCTGATCTGACCGTCAGGGGCCCCTGCCATACGTGGAACCACCTCCAGTGTGCATACAACCATTTACAAAATAAGCAGGTCTCTTCACCCAGAGATTCTGAGAGCTTTCGCCCAATCCTAATGACCTGCTACACCATTTGAACTTTTTTGATAAACGTCTATTCTTGTGTAGATACTAGCTCCTACCAAAAGAAGTTATCTCTTTCTGGGATAGAAGACTCTTCAGAAGTAAAATCATTGTTGAACTAGAACAAAGGAAAAAGGAAAAAGCTGAAAAAAAGGAAAGACCTTAACGGCCCTCTCCTCAGGAGGAGCTTGGTGGAGGAGGGTTTGGCCCTCCCTAGCTTGTCTTTCCTAAGTTGTTCTGGGTGTTATTGCCTTTGCAGGAACTGCCCCTGGTATAAAGGTTGTGGTCCTTGATGTAGGCGATGACAGCGTCTGGGAGCAGGTACTTCACGCTCTGCCCTTGGCCCAAGGCCCGCCTGATGTACGTGGCACTGATCTCGTTCTGCACAGGCTCCCTGGCCAGGTGAATGTTGTGCTGGTATCTCTGAAGGATGGGGGAGCTTGAGATGTACCCCTTTGGGTCGTGACCTACCCGGCCCACACACACTAAGCCGAACTTCTCCACTATTTCCTGGATGTGCTCGTCTTTCCAGAGGTCAGGGGTCTGGAAGGTCTTCAGGACATCTGCCCCGCAGAGGAGCTTCAGTTCAGGCACAGCTGGAAAAACAGGGGCGGGTCCCAGCAAAGTTACAGAAGAGGCACGGCCAGTAAAGATAACATATTCCATTTGAAATTCTCACAAAAAGCTTTTTTTTTGGAATGTATTAGGAACTCAATGACTCCATGTTCATGACTTAAAAAACAGAAAGCATGTAAATGAATTCGAAGCTACTTCAAGGGCATACAGTTTTGAGTAAAAATTCAATCAATATTTTGTTTTATATTGGCAAAGTGCCGAGTAATACAAAATAGTTTTTATTTTCAGTGTTATATCAGAAGTGTGAGGCTGCTGGATCCCACAGTAGAGTGATCCAAAGGTGGCTCTACTGTACACAGAACCCCATCTTCCGTAGAAGATAAGGTTCCTAAAGCCCTAGGACTAACAAGCCGTGGGCCTCAGGTAAGGCACTGCCTTTCTCAAAAGTATCGGCCGTAACTCCTGGTATTTTTATAAGTAAGATCTCATCATAAAGGTTAGTTATAAAGGATTACTGGATAATCAAAAGGTCTCTAAGACCCAGTGACCTTTTCATCTATTTTCAATAAAACAAAGCTCTAGAACAACTGATCAATGTGGATAATCTTCTGGCATTTGTTCTAACAGAATGGTATTTGTGATGATAAAAGAATACTACTAACATTATCGGTGCTTACTGTGGGCGCTATTGCTAAGCACTTATGCAGCGCTTAACGTGTATAATCTCATTTGATCCACAGAACAACTTCATGAGGTAGGCGTTATTGTTGCGCCCATTTTGTGGAGGGGGAAACGGGCACAGAGAGGCAAGCGACTTGCCTGAGGTCATTCATCTAGGCGGAGTGGTCAGGATTCAAACCTGACAGCCAGCCTCCGGGTGGGGCATTTGTAAGTGCGAGGCTCTGCTGCCCCCTGCTGGCAGTAATTATACACATATCAGAACCGAGAGGCCACCTCCCTCCCCTCCACCCCCCACCCTGCCCATTTTCCTGTCACCGGTTCACATTCATGTCCCTTTAGAATGGGCTAATCTGGAAAGGAAATATCAAGTCCACAGTAGAAGCAAACAGCAGGATTTCTGGTCCTTCTGGAGGTGGGTTCGAGCTTCGATAAACGGCAAAAACTAGGCTCCTAGAGCTCTGATATCTCTCAGTCACCATGAAACCTCAGTTGGGGAAAAACCTGATGTAAATGGTCAGTTTAGGCTCCTGCTGGGGAAAAACCTGATGTAAATGGTCAGTTTAGGCTCCTCTATTCTGGAACCTTTGAAGGAATCTGGACATAGGCCAGAGAGATGAGCTTACTAAAAAGGGGTACTTGACCAGCTGTGGAATGGGAAGTGAGAAATCGGAGGTGTCACTGGGAGGTCTGAGTTCCAGCCTCAGACCTGGGGCACAGGCTGCTGTGGGGCCGAAGCCAAAATCCTTCCTTCTCTGGGCTTCAGTTTCCCATCTAGGAAATCTAGGAAATGGTGGGCACTGGACTTGTTTACTCAGAAGTAATTCCGGAAAGACACCTTTCAAACACTCTAGCAGCATAACATAATGAAAGGATATTCAAACATTTATTAATGCACGTATTCATGAGTTCTCTGCGGTTACGAACTGGAAATCTAGAGCCAGACACCTTAGATTCAGATCCTGGCTTTGCCATTCAACAGCTGTGTGACTTCACCTTTACTTTATTTTCCCCTCTTTGATTCTGCCGCCCGCCCGCCCGCCATTTCTACCCCTGACCTATGGATGTTGCCGTTTCCCCTTAAGAACTGGATCTTTGCAGGTGGGGCGTGTCCTCCCACCTGCTTGCAGCACGCACCAGGTGCCTGGCACACGGGGGGTGGGGGCGGTAGCAGCGGAGCTGGCGCAACCGGGGTATGGTCCGTGGCTTCACCTGGGGCGCGAACCCAGGACGTTCTGCGCGTAAAGCAGACGTGCTAACCGCTACACTACGGAGCCACGCTTGTGACCTCACCTTTAAAATGAGGATATTATCCATCCATCCATCCATCCACTCATCCATTTATCCATGTACCTACTTATCCACCAATCCATTCACTGATACATCCGTTCAAAACTTATGGGGTATCTCCTAAGTGCATCATCTTTTAAAATCAATAAAACTGCAATTAGAAATTATTCAATAACTCATACTTTTCACTAATTTAGGCTGGTCCCATTGCTTACATCATTGCTTACATCTGATATGTGGATGATGTTTGACCTTTCAAACAGTTGGGTGGTTTTTATGTGGTTTTCTCAGGGGAGAAGTTTAATGACATACATTTAATTCCAGGGCCTGGGGCACACTCCCCATTTCCCACAGGTTAGAGAACAGAGAAGACACCACCTTCTTCTCCCAGTAGATTTTCGTAGGGATGATTTCCACATAGCAGCTTCAATATTAGATACTGTTTGACTCATTAACAACGACAGTAAAGAATATGATTCACTGTGAGCCCTTGCCTACAGGGGACAAGGCTCTCCACCTCCCAACCCCCAAGTCAAAGGAATGTTTTGGGGGCTGGAGTGATGAATCACGTCTTCAGGCAACGTGTGCCTCAGACCCCTCCTCTGGGCAGTGCTGTCGTCAGGCCTCACAAGGGCATTCACATATCCCTTTCACATCCATTCGCATCTCTGCTACAAAATCTTCAGATCGGGTGCCTTTAACTCAGTCCAAAGTACGTAAGTCTGAGTTGTTGAGTAAAGTCACCAATTTGATTTGTTTTAGCAGTGACATGTGACATAAATAGGGTGTGCATTGGCATTTTCAGGCAGTGTGCTTCCTTTGATAGCCAGAGGCTTTGAAAAGCAGATGAAGCGGAGATTTACATAGAACATGAGGGAGGTACCACCAGGACCTTTTTCTTTGAATGTCCAGTTGCCCTAACTTTGATGTCAAAGACCACCAACCCTGAGGTCTGTCAGCTCTGTGTTCAAATTTCAGTTCTGGGACTCATGGATAGTTATAATAGGCGGGCCTGCTTCTCCACCTGTAACACAGGGATGATAAATCCTCCTGTGAAAATAACTGAGTGAGGGCGCGAACGCTATGCTAATTTCCTGCCTTGTGCAGGGGATAAACATGGCCACGTGGGCCCCTTAGACATGCAGGAGTGTGGGACTTCTGGATCTAAACAGGAGGACACCAGAGATGAAGCCTCGTATTGGCAAGTGCAGGGTAGCATCCAAATTAACCAGAGAAGGCCACTTAGGAACAGTCAGTGTGAAATGGAATCAGATGAACTGCCCACTCTGGCTGTATGGAAAGGGAGTCCTCTGAAGGTCCCTGAGCTGTGCTCAGCCCCATCAGCCAAGAGCAGGGGCCACCTTCACAAAAGACAGACATCGTCGGGCTGTTAAAGGACCCAGGCACCATCCATTCCAGTGTCACACTCGAGTAGCCCAGAATGCAGCAAGCAATCCACATGGCTCTGCTGAGACCAAGGAGGACTGTAAATCACGGGAGTGATGGCAAAGCAAGGCTCTGGCAGCCAGAAAATGCTGAGCTCAGCCCGTAATTTGCAATCCCTGAGTAGAACAGCATGCAATAAAATACACAGCACACAAAATGGTCCTTTAGAAACATGTCACTAGTAACATACAAGCCACTTCATCAAAAGCCAAACTTATGCTGAGAAAAACTCCACCTTCTTTAATTGCTCCAGTATTTTTTTTTTATCACAAACATGAGATCTCTGTCAATTATGGAATGCATGAAAAATATCTAAGTGTTTAGAGTAGAAAACAACAACAATAACTGCCTTCTTTAAACCATCAGTATTTTGGTGTATTTCTAATCTTTACATATTTTTTCCTATACTCGAGATGATATATAGTATTGTATCCTGATTTTTTTCCCCACTTACCTCATAAGCATTTCTCCATACCGTGAAAACTTTTTGTGTAGATTCTTCATCATATGTACATAGTATAATTTAATTACGCATTCCTTTATATTTAAGCACTGAAGTTGCTTTTATTTTCTGCCATTATAAAATATGCTGTGATAAACATCTTTCTGCATAAATATTTGTCCAAATTTCTAATTATTTCCTCAGCCAGACTCCTAGAAAGGGACTATATCAAGCAAGGGGCACGAACATTTTAAAAGCCCCTGCTATATTTTGGTAAACTGAAAATCCCATTTTTCATTCAATGTAAACTTCCTTTTTTTAACAGTTACTTTAAAAGAGAACAAGATGAGTAGGATTTAGGGTTTGAACAGAGAGAAAGGGGATAAGGGACAAACCCCCAATACAATAAGGTCAACCAGAGTAGGCTAGTAGCCCCTAGAAAAATAAGTCTGAAAAGAATGTGGGGTGAACTGAGGCAGAAGGAGGGAGAGGGACCAGCTCAATGAGAGCAGCTGAGACGGGCTTCACGGGGAAGGTGGGTTCCAAACTGCGCCTCGCGGGACAGATAGGCATTTAACAGGGGGAGCCAAGAGGGGAAGGAGGAGGAGGGACAGGCCAGGCAGAGAGCCAAGACAGGGATTCTGGAAGCAACTGCAGAGAGGTGAAGGCTGAGAAGCTGGGAGCCTCAGGGTGGCGTCCGCTGGTTCGTAATGCAGGGGCTCTCTGCCTTTCACTGGAAACTCCAGGGCCTATGTTGTTTTCTGCCTTTGTGCCTTGCTCAACTGCCCTTCTGCCCAGAAATGTCCCCAACCCCAGATAACCTATTGATCCTATGAGTCTCAGTGCAGGTGTCTCCTCCAGGCAGCCTTCCTAACCTATACCTGGACTCAGGGCCACTCATGACCTGTGAATAGGGTTAGGGCACGCTGTCTCTCTACAAAGCCTGGTCCAGTGAAGTGCTCAGCATCTCTAGGACCCCATTAGGAGTGACTGCTGAGCCAGAGATGATTCAGAAAGGAGGCCAAAGGCTGAGAATTAACACTGCGCTGTGCTCAGGACTGGGGCATAGTGGGGGTGAGCCCACACAAGTCAATGGAGGAGAGGCAGACAGAGACCAGAGAAATACAAGCATTGTGAAAGCTGATTATTCAGGAGACTCTAACGCCGTCTTTCTTAGATTCCTACTCTAGTGCGTGGTTCCCCAACTGGCTGTAAAGCACATCCCCAGAGTGCCAATTAAGCATCTAGATTCTCAGGCCCCATCCCACTCAGGAGGTCTGGGTGTGGTCTGGGAATTAGTGTGTTTAACAAGCCTCACAGGTGATTCTGCTGTGAGTGATCTTTCGACCAGCATTTCTCAGCCTGTGTTCTGGGGAGCACTCATTCTGAGAAACACTAACATATTGCTCCATGATGAAAATGTGATAATGGCTATAATTTCCCTTTCTCATAGAGTCTTAATGCATGTGATCAAAGGACAGGTTCTGAAAAGTCCTGCAGTAAAGAAGCCATTTTAGGCCTGTTTAGCCATGGCATTCCCAAGGCCTGCTGATGTGGAAATAGTGTCCCATCAGCCAAAGCTGGGAGAGTCGCAGATTTTGGAATTTGGGCTCTTTGGACCAGTGAATCGCTGCTGGTGTCGCATCTGTCCTATCACTTGGAGCTCCTGTTTATTTGCATGAGGCAGCTGGCTATGCATCTGACCCCCAGTATCAGGGCTGCCATCAGAGAAAGAGGTACTTTGAAATCACAGCTGACAGGTTTCCATCACACACCAGAGCTGACAACAGGGTAGCAACAGGGTGGAAACCCAGGGTTACAAACTGAAAGGAAAATCCAAATCAACTTTAAATTCCCCATGAAACAGGTTTCCTCTTCTGAGTAAACCACTGAGTTACACTGCTATAGATATTAGTCTCTCAGTTTAAGGGTTATGATGGCATACTTTGTATTCAAAAAGGGAAGAAAACCTACCCTAACACACACACACACACACACACACGCACGCACGTGCGTGCTAAGGCTTTTAAAAGAACCCCAGCATCATTTACCAGGTTATCCCTGTGTAGGCCTGACTGTAATCCATGTCACAAGCCCTAGTCATAAGGGTAGGTAAACCCCTTTGTGGCAGAAAATCCCAAATTAGCATAATGATTTACAAAAGGTGGAGTTGGATTGTTTCATTTGACCTTTCAAACTAGGAGGTGTCACCCTAACCAGGCCTGCCTCAAAATCCTTATCTGTACCCAGAGGGCTGTGATTCCCATCAGTTTTCCCTCCCACAGCCAAGGGGGTCGGCACCCACCTGCAGGCACCCTGGACACAGCCTTGCCTTGGTTCGGGCCTTCCGTCTGGGGCAGAGATCTGAGCAGTTCGCGGTGATGATGCCTGCGTTGTAAAAATATGGCTCAGGGTGTGTCTGTTCCACCTAGAGTCCCCTCAGAGCCACTCAGGGTGCTCAGATTTTAAGTCTCAGCCTGTTCTTGTCTGTTGTAGGTAATTCATTCCACAAATATTTGCCGAGGGCCTCCTATGTGCCAGGCCCTGTGCCACATGCTGAGACAGAAAGCAAGTGTCATAGGATCCTTCTGAAGAGCTCTATCCAAGACAGTTCACTGCCTTCTGTGAGCCCTGGGCAAAAGGGGGAACATCAGCATATTTCTACTCTTTTTTTTTTTTCCCCCACATTTTTTCAATATCTCACTTTTTAAAAAAAGTTGAGTAGGGATTAAGGACCTAGGCTATTAGAATCAGGCAGACCTGAGTTCAGAATATAAACTTTTGTTTGTAAAGCCAGGATTACAACACCTATGTTCTAGATGTTCGTGAAGGTAAATGAGCAGTGCATGGCCCATAGCTGGCTCTCAAAAGTGATGCTCACTCTTAATAACAAGTTAGTATCTTAGAGCTCAAGAGGGTGACGGCTTAGAGCCAGACTGCCTGGGTTGAATCCCAGCTCCCCCACAGGCAGGCTGTGTGACCCTGGGCGAGCAGTTTCAGCTCTCTGCGTGGATGGTTCAGCATCTGCAAAACGAGGAATAATGACAGTGCCTGACTCCAATGTTGTTATGAAGATTAAAGGATCTGCACATGCGAAGTGCACTGAACGGTGTGCAGCACAGAGCAAATCTCATTCTATGTTGGCATTTCAGGTATGATTAGACTTACACCAATTCAGTATGTGCGACTCTGTTAGCATTTTATCCTCTGCAAATCGAGAGATACCTATATCTTCTTTTTTTAATCGAATGTAGGTAATCACTATGTCATATCAATTTGATCTTCCATCTTTTATCTACTGTATTGTGCATTTTCTAGAGCTGTATTTGGGAGGGAACAGTGCCTGGTGGTAAAAACATGTGATTTGCGGCCAGAGTTGGCAGGTTCAAGTTTAGGTTCTCCTGCTTGTATAATCCTGGATGGGTCACTAACACTCTCAGGAGTCTCTTTGACCTTGTCTGTTAATTGGTCATGGAAGTTAATGCTGGCCTTATCTCCAGTATCACAAGACCATGCAGGAGGAAGTGCTCTAACCTGCAGTGCCTGGTGGTAAAAACATGTGATTTGCGGCCAGAGTTGGCAGGTTCAAGTTTAGGTTCTCCTGCTTGTATAATCCTGGATGGGTCACTAACACTCTCAGGAGTCTCTTTGACCTTGTCTGTTAATTGGTCATGGAAGTTAATGCTGGCCTTATCTCCAATATCACAAGACCATGCAGGAGGAAGTGCTCTAACCAAATGCCGGAGAAGTGGCTCAATACTGATTATTACTAGGGAAGGCTCGTTGTAAAGCGAAGTTTTCGAGTTAGACTGCCTAGGCTGGAATTCTGTTTCCAGCTTATAGCTGTGCAACCTTGATAGGTTACTTGAGGAATCTGCCTCCAGTTTCCTCATCTGTAGGATGGGGGATAATGATACTACCTACCCAAGTGAGCTGTTGTAAAGCTCTTAATTGAAGAGCTTAGCACTGGCCAATGACGGTTGTTGTTATTATCATCATTGCTCTCAGTTTATCTTCCCCACCAGATTGTGAACAGGGAGCTCATTTAATTCATCTTTTTAGTCTTAGTATCCAGAAACTGCTTACCTATAGTTGGCTGAATTCAGGAATGGTGTAAGAAGTGAATGAATAAATACATTTAATTCTGGTCCTTCCCGATGATCTCAGAGACTCAGCCGAGTCCTCTTAGGGCCTAATCGTGTTTCCATATCGTCTTACTGTTTTAGTTTTGGTAAATTTTATCTCTGAGGAGTCGCTCCTGGCTTAGTATGGAATTTGATATCAGACTGAAGTAGGTTTGCATCTCAACTCCACTTTTTATCTAGTTGTAGGACTTTGAGTATGTTACTGCCCTTTCAGAGCCTCCATTTCCTCACCTGTAAAACAGAGCTAAACCCACCTCTCTCTCTCAGAGTTGCTGAGCTGACTAAACATTACATATGTGAAAGCACCTGGCACATATATAGTAGGTGATCAATAAAAGGTGGTGATTGTAATTTTATTTTACCTTAAAACTCCTAGTTCAAGTTGACCCTACTTTGAGTATTAGCTGGATCTCTGAACTCTGGTGTGCAAATGATTACTTTCAATGCCAGATCCTCTTCCTCACAGACCTCCACTCTGCCTCTGTGGGCCGGTGCCCATGACTTCCTCTTATTGCCTGCCTGAGTGGTACCCTGGTGTGCCCAGCCCTGTGCCTGAGGACTGACTCTGGAAGCACATTCTCTGTGTCCTCGGCAGCCTCCCTGGTCTCCAGGGATGCCCCATGTAAAAGTCACTGTGGCAAGAGCAAAGGCAGCCATATCATGTTCCCACCTTCAGATCCCTAATTTTGAAGATGGCCATGAGCACAGCTTCAGAGTTGAACAGAGTGGGGCTGTTTGATTTGCTTACCTGTTGTGTGACTTAGGTAACTTAGCCTCTCTGAACTTACGTTTCTTCATCTGTAAAATGAGGACAGCATAAGGTCATGTTTGCAAAGGGGAACATGAGATGATGATGACGGCCCACATCAAGTGGCACTGTGACCAAGGCCCTCGCCACCACGACACGGGGAAAAGGTGAGTGAAATAAGTTATCAAATGCCCCAAAAGCATGAAAGCTGGCCTAGATTAAAAAAATTTAGAGTAAAAATAAGAAAACTGATAAGGAGAAAAAGAATCCTCAATAAGCCCTATAGTGAGTTTACCTCGCACTAACATTTGTCATTGTCATTATGAAGTAAATTCACTGTTGGCTCTATCAAGAAGATACTAAATAGAGCAAAGAGTGATTTCTACCATGCTTCTAAAATCATCTAACTTTATAATTTTAACCAGATTTTCAATCTTAAAAAAAGTGCTTCTGGTAGTTTCAGAAAAACATTGGTAATCAAACAATTTTTTTTTTAGCTCTATTATTTTTTTCTTTATTAAATTTATTGGGGTGCATTGGTTAATAAAATTATATAGGTTTCAAATGTACAATTCAATAATACATCATAAATATATTGCATTGTGTGTTCACCACCCAAAGTCAAATCTCCTTCCATCACCATATATTTGACCCCTTTCTCCCTTCCCTCTGGTGACCACTAAACTGTTGTCTGTGTTTGTCTTGTTCATTTGTCACTTTCAGTTTTATGTCCCACATAAGTGAAATCATGTGGTTCTCAACTTTTCTGACTTATTTTGCTTAGCATGATAATCTCGAGGTAGTTCTATTCTTAAATTTTCAAGGACCCTCCACTGTTTTCCATAGTGGCTGTACCAATTTACATTCCCACCAGTAGTTTTTTTAATGCAATGGATACACGATGGAGATGAAGCTCACTCTAAAAACCGAAAAAAAAGTCTTAATCGGCTATCTGATAAAATGATCTCGACTATCAGTGGATTCTCAACCTTGGCTGCACAAAATAAATTATTTGGCGACTTTTTAAAAATTATCCACGCCTAAACCCCACCTCAGACAAATAATCTTGGAAGGAGGGGATTAGCATTCTTAAAAAAGTTTCCCAGGTGATTCCTACAGCCAGAGTTGAGACCACTGGTTTGGATGGATCTCAGTACTAATCGGAAGTCTGATTTGCATACTCGGCAACTGAGGCTGTGGCCTCATTCCTGGCTTTTAAAAATCCTGGTGCCCCACCCCAGACCAATGACACCCCAGTCTCTAGGGTAATACTTGGGCATCGATACTTCTGAAAACTCCCTAGGTGATTCAG